TAGCAAATTGGAAAGATAAGAGGCTCTTATTTTATATTCTAGCTTGTCAGTATCTGTAATATTAGTTTCTAATTCGTACAAAACTATAGAATTTGTATTTTGAGTTTAGAAACATCTAATTTGAACCAGCGCTGCATTCAACATACCATGTGACACACAAAAATGATGTATATCTGTGTTTTTAATATTTGTTTTTAAATCAAGAAATTGAGTAATATATAGCACTAAAATCTGAATTATAATCTACATTTGATACCAAACTTATTGACATAAATTCATGAAACAGTAGTTCAATAAAATTTTGAATGCAAATCAACAAACGAGATGACATGACCTCTCACCCGTAACCCGTCTAAAAATGATTAATTAAACGTTGCATGTTCTTGCGTATTTTATGAACGACAATTAATTATAAAATTCTCTTGTACACTATGCTTTAGATTTCCAGAATTAATGATTGCAGACTAACAATTTATAGCACAATGCATACCGTTCCTCTTATGTAATAGGACACAACGCTAAGACATAAGAAAGACTGAGAAGAGATGAGCAAATATTTATTGTGGTGTATTAAAAGCTGATGTGTGTTAAACAACAACAACCAATCGCTTTGAAGTACTGAATAAAATCTGAACATCACTTGTAAACTGACTTGAATACAAAATCCTAGTGTGCATGTTTTTTCAACTTGACATGAAACTTGAAGCTACTATTAGACGTATTTGTAGGTTTGGTATTAAGTTGTGTCCACGTTGAGTCACTGGTAGGTAAACGTATTTATGATTCTACTCAACCTGTTTCCGCACTGTAGTTTTTAGTTGTAATTATTCGATTAGAAATTCTCAGATGTAGAAGCATTACAATTGTCATTTCAGTATCAATCATAATTAATTTCCTAATTTACTTTTACGTTTTTCGTGTATTTTTGGAAATAGATTTTAAAATATATTCGTTCTTCTCCAATAACTTTAAGGATTTCACAAGTTTTAATAAAATTACTAACTTTGATGTGGTCTTCCATTTTTGTTTTACCATAACCAAGATTACGTAAAATATGAACCGAAAATCGTCGTTGTTCTTTCCACCAGTTTCCGTTCACTGATACAACGCCTGGAAATGAAATAAAATCATCTATTACACAAAACAAAAGCGTATGTCGATTTGTATGTAAATTAAGTAGTATATTAGCCCATTCATTCTATCGCCAAAATGTTTCATAAAATTAAACTCGATGTGTCCTCAGAAAAACGTGACAATTGACTTTATCTTTGTCATTATAAGAAATTGTAGTGCGATAAAGAATCGGTTTTTGTATAACACCAAAATTTTCTCTATAATCATATTTTTCAATAACTTTACAGATGATTGCAAAAAAATAAACTCGTAACTAGCACGTTGCATCTTAATTAAATGGCCCAACATGGCCAGGTGGTTAGGGCGCTCGACTCGCGATCTGAGGGTCGCGGGTTCGAATCCCCGACACACCAAACATGCTCGCCCCATCAGCTGTGGGGGCGTTATAATGTGACGGTCAGTCCCACTATTCGTTGGTAAAAGAGTAGCTCAAGATTTGGCGGTGGGTGGTGATGACTAGCTGCCTTCCCTCTGCTAAATTAGGGACGGCTAGCGCAGATAGCCCTAGTGTAGCTTTGCGCGAAATTCAAACAAACAAACTTAATTAAATAAAGGACTTCAAGCTTAGTATTAAATATAATTATAAGCTATATTATACGTTTTACTACATCAATCATACAGTTTTAAACGAATATCATTTAATATTTATTCCTTACTTATATTTTCTGACGGTCCCTGAATCTGAATATCTGGTGGACGGTCTAGAAAAGCATCTTTGTTCATAGCTTCCTTGACAGCCAGAAAATCACACAGCACGACGACGTTTTGACTTCCCAATCTGAGGCTAAATCCGATAATAGAAAATTAATTCAGACAATGAATTCAGCTGTAAAACCAAATTAACGAATAATGTAAGTTGTTGTCACAAAGGGCCATTTGTGCTATGCCCACCACGACTATTGAAAGCCGTTTTTTTGTGGTATAAATCCGCTGACATATAGCTGTGCCACTGGGAAAGGCAAGAATGTAAGACTTTAAATGATTTCATTCAAACATAGAGGAACACAACCAGTTACACGCTCAGATATCAAGGTGACAGAGTTTTATAGTAAGCCACAAAAAGTGTATACCTATATATTTTATGTAATATCTTTTATCTGTTATATACAACTTATCCCTCTGTTAACCACACACATTGTGTTTCATTTTTTCCCATGGTATTGATTATAGTCTCAGAAACCAATCAATAACACAGAAAATGAAAAATGTTATAAAACAAAGTTAGTATAGAAGAAAACGTATAAAATACACAAGTGTACATCTACAAAACGCATAAAGGAAAACGTTTCAAATACACAAGTGTACATCTACAAAACGCATAAAGGAAAACGTTTCAAATACACAAGTGTACATCTACAAAAGGTATAGAGGAAAACGTTTCAAATACACAAGTGTACATCTACAAAACGTATAGAGGAAAACGTTTCAAATACACAAGTGTACAGCTACAAAACGTATAGAGGAAAACGTTTAAAATACACAAGTGTACATCTGCAAAACGTAATGAGGAAAACGTTTCAAATACACAAGTGTACATCTACAAAACGCATAAAGGAAAACGTTTCAAATACACAAGTGTACATCTACAAAAGGTATAAAGGAAACATTTCAAATACACAAGTGTACATCTACAAAAGGTATAAAGGAAACATTTCAAATACACAAGTGTACATCTACAAAAGGTATAAAGGAAACATTTCAAATACACAAGTGTACATCTACAAAACGTATAAAGGAAAACGTTTCAAATACACAAGTGTACATCTACAAAAGGTATAAAGGAAACATTTCAAATACACAAGTGTACATCTACAAAACGTATAGAGGAAAACGTTTCAAATACACAAGTGTACATCTACAAAACGTATAGAGGAAAACGTTTAAAATACACAAGTGTACATCTGCAAAACGTAATGAGGAAAACGTTTCAAATACACAAGTGTACATCTAAATGGTACAAAGTTTCATTGCTTCTTCCGTTCTTGTTATTTTTTCACTTTAGTTCTGAAATTTTCAGTCAGTTTATCGTTACAATAAAATTCTAAGTAATATACAAACCACAAAGCTAGGATATTACTTTTCATGCAATCCATTTTCTCGAATATTTATATTGAATATTTGAAAAAAAAAAGGTTTAACTATTAGCTATAGCTGCATTTAAAAACAATTAAAGATAGGTTTTTGTGGAAACTTGTAAAACTATTTGTTTCAGTTTATCATATACAAAAGTATGAGTAATTGTTTAGTTTAAAATTGTTAGCAGCGGCATAGCGGATTACAGAAGGGTCAAGAGTTGTTGTTGTTTTAGCTTATAGCTCTGTCATGTCTTGACAGATTTGAGATCTAATTAAAGTTTTGGACGCAGTAGATCAAACCCTTTCGATTGACGTGTTTGACCACGCCCAGGGTCTCGTAGATTAATTTACCGTAATCCTGCCCAAAAAACTTTCAAGTGCCGCTGCTATTGAGGATTCCTTCTTGTTTTATTCATTGTACACATGTGAAAAACTGGTTTATCAAAGTAAGCGTGAAAATCTCATACCAAATAAACCTACTCGTGGATAAAACAAATTTTCACAAACTTTTAAGATTCACAATTTACAAAATACTAATACCTGAACACGTTGCCATATTTCTTACTGAGTTCTATGAAATCCAGAAAAGCTTTTTTGCCAAGGAAAGGAAGATATCCGACGATGGGAAGACCGACAGGACCAGGCGGAAAGTTCCGGAAACGTGTTAATATCCAACGAAAGAGTAAGAAAATACAAGCAGCTGAAAGAAGTGTTGTAGCAAAAGTAGGGTTCAACCACGTGTTTGTTAAAACACCTTCTCTCATTTTAGATTCAGTGTAGTAGACTGAAGTAGAAAGCTTCCAGACAAGATACTCATCACCTGCTTTTTATACTCCAGTAAAGTGTAGTGTTTACAAGTATTTACAAGGACTTCACTTGTTTGAGAGAAAAATAAAATTTGTTGACTAAAGTTTACCCTATATTTCTGGTAATTTAATCTGTAGAGTGGCATGAACATCAAGGTTGAAGATTTTTGGTAATAGTATAGTCTGGTATATTGTATATAGATGTTTCAGGAGAAAAATAAAAATCTTGTTGAGATTTTGTATGTTGAAATAACAACCAATAATTTAGAAGTGATAGACTTGAGTACAGGTAGCCAGTCAACACCACACGCCTCAAACTCGTGGGTTATTCTTATCAAAAAATAGAATTAACTTCACATTATAATTTCCTACGAAAAATTATGAAATATTGCACTCAAAATTTAAAAAAATTAAGCTGTTTACATTTCATTCCAGAAAGCATATCAACATAAAGATTAAACCTCTAATATTAAAAATATTAGCCAGGGTCAGAACGTTGTTACCTCCATTTATGTAGTGCCACGTGTTTATGGGATGATGGTTGAGATTGACAACATGCAGTCAAGATGTAATTGCAATTTTGTTACAGCACTGAAGAAACCCTTTCACACCCGGCTGACTCAGAACTATTGTCTGTGAATTCTCCTGCACCAAGAAAGTTCCCTCAATAAATAATCATACAACCATGGAACCATAAAAAGACTGTAAACCACCACCACCACACCTCCTTGAAAAAGAATTAAACTCTTTAGTTTCTTTACTGCATCCAAGAAACCAGTCATTTTATCTTCGGAGGATACAGAGATCAACACCTACATCGACGGTCCTTGCATTCCTTAAGAAAGCAACCTCGTATATTATTGGAAGATCCATGAAAAAACTTTCTTATCCTATCTCTACTAGCCAAACTCTACCTGAGCATTCTAGGATCTTCAGCCCCCGTTCAGTGTTTGTTTAGCATCGGAGGTAAAACCCTCAGGTCTTATCGCTGTCACCTCACAGACAAGACATTTGAGAGATTGATGTTCATAAAGAACAATGGACAGTTATAATATCTATAAGTCTCCTTTAAAATTGTATTTTTTTGTTCTAAAACTTTGTTATACCATTTTGAAAAATAAAATTATTGAAATGTTAATATTTGTTCAAAGTTTCTTTCTAAAAAGTTTGTTTAAAATTAAATGTATTGAAGTCTTATCGTCTGCGGGTTTATCATTATTGCATATTACCTGACACAGTATTCATGAATACATTTCTATGTATTCGTATTCGTATACTTAACATTTTTCCTGTATTCGTTTTCGTATTCATAAAAATGCCAAGTATTCGATAACTGATATCCAGTGTTCGCTCCATACCTGCTTTACTGATTAATCCCAATCCGAATTATTCGGAAACAATCAACGGTTGTTTATTCAACAGTGAAAAAGAAAGAACGGTATGATAATCAATGTAGAACATATATAGTGGAGCATGGTGGAAGTGCAGCACAAGTTTAGGGTTGTATCTCAATAACAGTGTCGATAATAAACACAAAACTGGTGGCATGTCATCCTCTCATCTTTTCTTAATATCATAATGTTTTTACACCTATCTTTAGTTTAAAATGTTCAGAAGTGTTTCACACATAACTGTGGATTAGATAATACTAGCTGGAGTTTCAGTCCATTGGACCAATGAAATAAAAACTCGTTTGTAACAAAGGAAATTATGCTTCTATTTTTTTAACATAATAAACATTAAAAGTGCAATAAAATATTAAAGATATCAATATTTAAAAGAAAGACTACTTATTTCAAGAACTATATCAATATGAAATTATATGGGGGTTCTATCCCCCTCATGACTTTCCTCATGTCATCCTGTATCACTGTGTCAAGTTGTGCTGATTTGGTAGTTTTTACGAAATTAGAGATGTGATTAGATCAGAGCATACAACCCACAGTTAGGTTATAAATAAAAATCAATCCGGTAAAGAGTATGTCTAACTAAATACACTGTTCTTGTATTCTTACTTATAAAGATACGAACACATTGTTTTGTCAGTTACGTTTACCTTAACTGTAAATGATATTTTCGGCCGTCAACACACTAATATATTGTGAGATTTGATCAGCTTAACTTAGGAACAACAGATTATACCTTATTTACAAACACATTAAAATACGATAAATCCTCCTATATTAAAAACTGTCCGTGAAACAATTATTTACTCTTTCATATTGTTACGACAGCGGAAGTCACGCGACGCTGAGAGCATGCGTGCTGGAGTTCCTAGAATTTTCCTGGCAACTCTAGTTGGTTCGAGGCGCCCTCTTTTTTAGTATATAAGCCTGGCGAGATAAACCAGCGCGATATAAGAGATAGATATGCAGATAGAGATAATTGAGTCAAGCGAACAGATGGCACCGTAAGTAAAGTGTGTGAATCACTGTGATTTATAGCATGTGTTATAAAAGTTGTTAAGTGTATTACAAAGTTGTTTCGAGAAAGAATAAAATAGTTTTAATTAAGAAAGGATTTGTATCGCTGAAGTTCCTCGGAAAGAATGTATACCGGAAATTAAAGAAATTATCAAACGAGCAGAGATGTAACAATATATTTGGAGAGTTCTATACGTTTCTGTGTGTATTAGCCTCTTCGTCTAAAAATACTTTTGGAAAGCTTTTGCATATCTATTTTGCATTTATGGAAAAGCTACAAGTCTATTTGCCGCAGTCCATTATTTTTAACTACTGTTGATAGGAAAGGCATCACCTTAACATCCACTAATCATTCTAAGAGTAACACTCTTATAAAGCACCCATAGCTGAAAGAAGGGAGATATTTTGTGGTATGACATGGATTTAAACCCGGCTCGCCATCTCCGAAGTCCAAAGTTCAACCACTAGGACAACCTGGACCCCTTTAAAAAGAGAAAAACACTTTCACCCTTTAGTTCGGTAGAATATTGTTAAGGGTCGCATTTGTTTTTACAGTATGAACTTTATCACGTGATATAAGGCATACCGTGAAACAATTTATGCAATCTGAAAACTACAGATGGTGATCCGACTCAGACTGGACAGTACAGGCGATTTTCTGTCTGAATTTGGACAGTACAGATGACTGGTCTGATAAAATATGCACAGGACAAGATGATGGCCTGACTCAATCTCGACAGTACAGATGATAGAGAAAAATCATGAATGGTGTTATGTGTGACTAGATGGCGAAGGTATAATCTATAGAGCATTTTTAGGATAGATTTTTCTGGTTCGTAATTTCAATTCAGATATATTTATCAAGAGTAACAACACAAGGGTTAGCATTCAATTTCTACTTAAATGCGCTTCGAATTTTAAAACTGTGGGTAAGTTACAAGAACAATGGTAAAATTTCACTATTTTGAAGAACAACAACTGAGGTTGTAGCACCCAAATAGCCCCCACCCCCTCTATATATCCATCCACTCGCAGTTGAAGCACTAGTTTAATATCAGCAATAAACCTATTGTTAAATCTCTGTTCGTTTGTTAATTCCCGTAGAAATTATTTCCGAGGAACTTCAGCGATACAAATCCTTTCTTAAATAAAACTAATTTATTCTTTCTCAATACAACTTGCAATACAATTAATTTCCACAGTCACTTTAACTTAATTCACTTTATATATTCACGCTATAATTCACAACGATTCATGCACTTTACTTACGGTCACTACCGCTCACTTTTATCTGTCTCTATCTCCATCTATCTGCAATTATATCTCCGCTTTATTTGCCGGGCTTATATACAAAAAAGAGGGCTCTTAGAAAAGACTAGAGTTGCCAGGAACAGTCATGATCCTTCTAGAAACCCCAGCGCACATGCTTCCAGAGTCACGTGACTTCCTCTGTCGTAACACTATTATTATATCATGGAACTAAGGAGTGGAACAAAGGTGTTCTAACCAACAACGTCCTGAGTCAAACAACGGGAACATAATAGTTACCCTTTACTACTAGTCAATAAAAAACTGTACAACTCAACAATATGTCCATAAATTATTGAGCTATTTTCTTGATTAAATACAATAAGAACCACATCAGGTAAACAGTAGCGACATGTGGGAAGTTGATGTCTGAAGACTTTCCCACTTATTTAGATTGGTGTGTCTATGAAGGACATTTTCTATCAGAAGAAGGTACCGGATACGTGAGGATCACTTCGGAAATTATTGCAGTTACATGGATAAACGTCAGTTATCGTCTAAACATCCTTCGAGCCACGAACGTACGAGGTATATAAACGGTGCCAAAGGTCATGGACAAATAAGACGTGTTAGCTTCTTTCTTTTCGTTTTTATTAGCAGGCACTTCCTCGGTCCGATTAAAACGATGACCCGAACACCAGTCAAGGCAATGACTGGCGTCACCATCAGGTCGGCAGGCCAACCGCTGTTTCAGGAAGAAATGACGACTACGCTGGAAACAGCCCTAGACGACGAGGCCTCGTAATACACCTCGACAAGTGACCACACTGACGACGACATAACCAGCGATTCTTCTCACCCTACATCTGAAACCATCAACGATGGATTCACCACCGTGAAAAGGAAAAAGAAGACTTCGCTAGTAAGTAAAACTTCCAATGATAATCATAAGATTGCTGATAAGGAAACAAAAATCACGGAAAATAACACACAAATCTACACTAACGAAAAACAACACCACATCCCAGCACTAATCACTAAAGGTATATCTTCAACACTTAGAATATCACAAATAGTTAAAGAAATTCGAACACTTTTTACTAGTCTAAATTTCAAAGTCACCCATTGACTCCCGAAAGGAGGTGTACTTTCAAAGTGCTCTTCCCTTAATGACTATGCACATATCTTAGCCCACTGGCCCAGCACAGACGTAATACACCTATTCACCCACCAAAAAACCCCACTACACAACCAGCTATCGTCATCAGAGGTGTCCATCTCGACATCGCACTTTTTAAAACACTGGATATAACAACACGAATCATCTCCTTTAAAACTAAACTAAAACACCAGTCGTCAAAGT